AAATAAACACCAGAAATAGAGGGGAGCCGGCGGCCTACCCTCTCCTGCACTGAAACCAGTAGAGCCACCACCGCAGGGGGGACCGCAAAGCACAGCAGCAGAAAATAACAAATGAGAGGAAAAAAAAAAGAAAAAAACAATAAAAAATAGAAAAACAAAAAGAAAAGCAATAAAAAATAAAACCGCAGAAAGAATATAAAAATCGGCTTCACTGTTGTTATTGTGTACACGCATTGTAATGCAATTTGTCTTGGAGCCTAAACCCTAAACCCTAAACCCTAAACCCTAGACCCTAAACCCTAAACCCTAAACCCTTAATAATACGCACATAATGTGGAGATGAAATGGGGTTGTGTGTTTTTCCTGCTTTTGTTTGTTTGCTTGTTGTTTATCTCATTTTTTAGTTTTTGTTTTTTCTCTTTCTTACCTCTGCATGCATTAAAAAAATAATAAACAAATAAACAACAAAAAGTAAATAGAGGAGAAAATAAATAATTAAATAAACAAAAACTGAAAACAAACAACAAACAAATAAACACGGCAAAAAGCAAACGAGCAGCACACAAATGGGGGTTTGAATTTAGGGTTTAGGGTTTAGGGTTTAGGGTTTAGGGTTTAGGGTTTAGAGTAAAACCCTGTTGGTTTTTATCGTTTCCTTTTCTGTTTATTTGTATGATTTCATTGATTCACTCCACAAGAAATATTGTTTGTATGTTGTTTTTTTTCGTTTTTTATTTGTTTTCAGTTTGTTTTTTTTTGTTTGTTTTTATTTTTTTGTTTCTTTCTCTTTGTTTTCCTTCGTTTTTATTTGTGTTTATTTTCTGTTTTATCTCTGTCTCCTTTTGCTGCTGTTTTTGTCTCTCAGGCCGGAAAGACAAACAGAGAAACAATGGCGTTGCAGCAGCAGACAACACTGCAGCAGCAGAACTCACTGCAGCAGCAGAGGTCACTGCAGCAGCAGGATTCAGCACTGCAGCTGCAGCTGCAGCAGACAGCAGCACAGCTGGATCGTGCGATCCCAGACCCCACACTGCAGCCAGACCTCCCCGAGTTCTGCAGCGAAGAAGAAAGACAAAGGGCGCTTAGTGCTGCTGTTGCTGCAGCAGCAGAAGCACTGAAGCAGGAGCAGCAGGAGAGAGCTGAAGATGAGGTGAGGTATTTTCTTTTGTATAAAAGAGAAAAAAAAAAGAAAAATAAATATAAATATATTTCATTAGACAAACAAAAATATTAATATATTTCAGTTTACGCAGAGAGAAAAAGGAAAAAAAAACAAATAAACAGAAGTATAAACAAACACAGTTCAGCAACAGAAGATATTTTTAGTTTAGTTTTTTTTTTTTTTGTTTTTCCTCTTTATGTATATGTTTCTGTTTCTCTGGTTCTGTCTCTCTCCTTCTCGCTATCGCTCCCTGCAGCTGCTGCTTCTTCTTGTTTGTCTTTCTGTCTGCTGCATGTATCCCGTTGTCTCTCTTCTTTCTCTTTTTTTTTCTTTTTTTCGTTTTCTTTTTCTCTTTTGAGTTAGAGTTGTTTATGCGAGATGTGTGGCTTATGTTGCTCCCTTTTGTGTTTGTTGTTATGTTGCTGTGTTTTTTGTTTGTTTTTTTGTTTGTTTCCGTTTCTTGTTTGTGCATGTGTATTATTTATTTATATTTGTTTATTTGTTTGTGTATTCATGTTTAGGCAGCAGCAACAACAGCAGCAACCTGCTGCTTTCTCTGCAGCAACGAATCAACTGCTCCTTCGCCTGCATCTTCATGGGTGGATGTACACCTGAAAGAGGGGGGAGAAGAAGGAGAAGAGAAACAGCTGTTAGTATCTGATGAAGCTTTATCTCGGTTAACAACAAAACAAATAAATGATATGGTTGAAGATAGATTGAAAGATGAATTAGATAGACCACCTGCGGTGTCTAGACAGGAAACATGGAGTGTAGAGAAAGGTATTGTATCTTTTAGTACATTTATAACAACAAAAATAAATAATAATAATATAAATGATTCTATACCTCAGCCTCTTACTGCATATCTTCCTCCTTCTCCTCTTTTTACTTTTGATGGAAAAATAGGAATGGAGTGTAAAGCATTTAAAATAAATTTTTGTGATAAAGCAGCAAATATCATTCCTCCTTTCTTCTTAAGAAAAGGAGAATCAATGACAGAACAACAACAACAAGTTATGGATAGTGGTGTTTCAAACGCAAAAGAAATAGATCTATTCGGCCCCCAAGACCTTGACTTTATAAACCAAGAGCTCAGCGCAGCGCACAAGGATTTATATGCAGCATAAAAAAACAAACAATATAAAAACAACAAGCATAACAATAAAAAACTATAAACAACAACAATAACAATAAACACAACAACAGCAGTCAAGGATATCCGCAGTGTTATCTTGCTCTGCAGCAGCATATAAAGGCGGGAAGTTGTCTATATAAAAGTTTACAGCTTGCCCCCGCAACCCTCAGTATCCCTCAGTTGGCAAATGCCTAGCTAGCTGGCAGGCCAGCAAGTCATCACCTAGCTAGCTAGCTAGCTAGCTAGCTAGATGGCTCTAGCTGGCTAGATAGCTATCGAAAACGCACGGTCGCAGCTGCGCGTTCGCCGTGTGCATTTTTCCGATATGTAAAACTCCGAAGGTTTTAAGTCGAAGGTTTCTTTTAGTGTTTAGGGTTTAGGGTTTAGGGTTTAGGGTTTAGGGTTTAGATCTAGAATATGTTGGTAAGCAGCCTCAAGGGACAAGTCAGACGAATGTTTTGAAATCATCATCTCCTCAGTTCTTTTTTTTTTCAAGATCAAGTGCTTTTTGCTGCTGTTGTTTTCGTTTCCAGTTTCTGCATTGATCGTGCTGCAGTCACTAATTTCATCGTAACATTAACGCAACAGCTGTTTCCTGTGTACAACCCCCCGTTCCGTTTGCAGCACTGTAGCCGAAGAAGAACCGTATAAATAAAAAAAAAGATAAATAATTTTATATATGTATCCAAATACTCTTCTATGTTCGGGTTTTTGACTCGTTCAACTGTACCGCACGGGTGTACGTTGACCTCTGAACGCCAGAAGCAGCAGCAGCGCCTCACCCAGCCCTCTAAGCATAAAGAAGTACATTTCCCTACTAATTAATATTTACAAAATGTTACGCCAGGTTAATAACTCAAAAGCCAGAGCAGACGGGGGAAGGCCAAGACAGCTGCCGCGGCTGTATCGGTGCTGCAGCAAGGGGCCGGAGAGAAAGCGTTTCAATAAGTTTCGTGTATTCAGACTCGAATTAACAAAATATTTTTAATGCTCAGAAGAATTTAATTACATTTATGGACCCATTTTGGTGCGCTCGTTGCATCTGATCCACAGTATATTGAAATCATTCAATTTCAGTATAGAGTTAATATAAGTTAAACTGTATTGAAATTATTTTAGTGGAGTTTATTGCATATAATTACATTTTCTGAAATAACTTAATGTTTAAACTACATCTGAAGAATATTTTGGTTCTCTTCTTCGTTTCGCGTTTGTCGTCAAGCAGTGAGAGAAAGCTGCCGGTGAGGCCCGAATGTATGCGTAGCT